TTATTTTGAACTCAGATTGGGTAATTTTTAAGATAGCAGTTTAAGGATGATAGACGGATTTAACCCTTTCATGCACCAATAATGATAACCTGTAACCTGCTTACCTGATCTGCTGTCCACTGTTGTAACCGCTGTGCCTGAAAGTGTTAATTGATAGACACTTACAAGAGCTGGGTTGAAAATAACCCATAACAGATATTGGGTTATTTTTAACAAATCAAATGTTCAATCAACACCAAATATGACAGAGATGTGTGTGTTTTTTTCCCCACAAGAAGGGAAGGCTACATGGTTTTATTGAATGTTTATTAATGGATCAACAATCAGCCAAGCACACAAACATGTTACTCTTTAGTTTCTTCGCTGTACCTTCTCAACGTCAAACGGAAAAACACGAGAAATCAACCCAAAATAATAATTAAAAAAAAATATTTACATACTGCATTATAAATATGTCAAATGTACATCATTTATACACAAGTACCAAAGATGGTCATGCTGTGACCAAATGCGAGTACCATTATAAGCATAGAAAAAAAATTACAATGGAGAAACAACAAGAAAAATCGCAACATCTGGAAAAAAAAATATGGCTTGTGGTTCAAGAGGCTTTTTGACCCAAAAGCGGTTTTCGTCGTCGTTTCTCGAAGATTATTTGCAGCTAATATGTGCAACACTTCATGTTGTGCGAAGGGCTTTTCTACTTTACTCCTAAATTGGAATCTACACTACTTCGAACAAGTGAAGGCGGCTCAATCAAGTCAGTAAGGCCAGGATTACAGTACATGGTTGCACTACATCTACAATGCAATCAGTGGCTGGTCAGCTTCAGATTTCAGAATAAAAGTGTGCTGGAGAAACACACTTGAAAATAGTCTCTCCTGTTCGGCATGGTCGACACAAACGATCGCAACTGTTCCGTTTAGTTTAGAGCAGACCTGGTTCTTGTCATTGAGACTCGATAATGCCAAGAACGGATTCCTTTTTATGTTTGGACAGAGCCACGCTTATCGTCGCTGTCGGACGAAAAACATGCATCTCCATTATAGAAAGAAAAAAAAAGAAAAGAAAATCAAATAGAATTTCAGCATTTCAAGTTCAGTTCTGAAACTGTTTTGGGAGAAAAAACAAATCAGGATAAAAAAAAGAATAAAAAGGTCAAGCTGTTGTGATTTTTATTTTTCAAAAAAAAAAAAAAAAAGTTTCCAAATTACATTTCATTTCAGATTAGTGACTGGAACGTGAAGAAAACTGATAGAAGAAGAAAACTCAATTACGGTTCAGAAATTGTTTTTCCAACAAACATTTGGGGTAAAACCAAAAATTGCAAATCAAATGTTTGGAGATGCGTGTTTTTCATTAGATAGGGATGTTACATTACCTTCCCCCAAAATTTTTTATCGTAAATTACATAAAAATTAAGCAAAAACTCAAGCTGAATTTTTTTGGCATGTTTCCTGATTTAATGCAACAAGGTGGACCAGCGCACGCTGAAGAATTATATTTTTACGCAAAAATGCCAAAAAAAAAAAGAGCTGTTATAAATGTTATCGACTCACATCTCCCCTTCTCAGTGACTAAATCGTTCCCCCGGATGACCAAGACGCACCAAACATTGTGAATACTGAAAATGAGTCTGTAGTTCCAAGTTAAAAACTCTGTAAACAAATATGATTGCCATGAGAAAAACCCTTTCATCGCTTTGAAAGCTTTACGAAGGCAAGTCGCGACAAGGGCAAATGCAATTCTGGTCACAGTGGCAACCCGATCATCACATATGAACTGATCGGATAAAAAGTCTCATCGCTCCCTTGAACGTATCATTTTTAGGCCGACGGGTGCTCAAACAGACAACGTGTTGAAGTACGCGGAGAATGACGATGTCGACAGCCCGCTTGAGTGTGTTCGGTCTCATCCCAGGCACGGTTGCGTATTTCACAGCCAGACTAGTAAAAGACGGAAGTGGAAGGATTATTTGAAATCTTCTGTCAGCCAACGGTCGAGAGAATCTAGAGCTTGTTCCCACAAAGACGTCGTAATGGCGCAATTGTCACGCTTTGAATCGAAGTGAATGAAATGTGATTGAAGAGGCAATCACCTCCTTTATGTCGCTATTATTTGCGTGCTTTGACTCCAAATTGCTTTGTCGGCATTCCACGAACAGCAGATCAAAGAACACTGGTTTTGCTGAGCAATTATTTGGATGGTCTGGAAGAGGAACTTTTTCATTCATGTCGCAAACTTGAATTAAATAAAATGGTCAAACATGTGGGAAGGGCTGGGCAACATAATTATTCAATTCATAACAACCTTTGAGTAAATAATAGCTCATAATATGTAATAGTGAATTGGAATTTTGTTACTATACAGTTTTTCGGAAGCTTATGTTCCGACAAAGTAAGAAAAAAACCCCAATTTCGATTTGAGAAATTGTTTTGTCATTTACATTTGTGAACAAAAATATGTTTATCCGAGTAAAAAGAACATTTGGGGTCGGAATACGAATCGAAGAAACACCCCAAAAATTTGAATTGGGAATTAAAATTCCAAACTGGATTTATGGAAAAAAAAAAATTGAAACTTGAGGTTTTGAAGACATTTTTCATGGGAAATTTTTTTCCCCCTCAATTACAATCAGAAGTTTTAATCTCAATTTCTGAAGAAATAAAAATGGAATATCACAAAATTACTTTTCCTATTTTCTTTTTCTCCAAAACTCAATTTCAAATATTCATTTTAAAGTCGTTTTTGAAAAAAGAAAAAAACAATTCAAATGACCCATTTGCTTGAAAGAAACTTTTTGTGAAAAACAAGCTTGGATTTTCTGCTAAAAAGTAAAGATAGCGACACGTGCTTTTCATTGGACAGTGACACATTTTGCTCCGAGATGAGAATTTAACAGGAAATTACACAAGAAGCTAAGCGACACATGACATGTGAGCTTCACCGGACCCAACATGCAATTCTGGGAACAAACAAAACTTCAGAGGAAGTCAGCGCTCACGATATGCGACAATAAACACTTGTCAGCCCATCTTAAATTGAACGTGGCCCTCGGAGGACATTTCTGAACGACTGCAAAGCTTCCCCATCCTTGCATGAGGGGAACACTTTAAGGGGGGTGTCAGTAATTCACTGGTGTGGATTAAAAACAAACAAACGAAAAAAAAACTTAAAGCTTTTCATAATCATCTCAGACCGACGATAAAAAAAAGAATAAAAACAAACTTTACAAAGCGTCCGTCCCATCCTGACATGTCTCCGTTGTGGATACGCAGCGTCTTGTGAAACGAGGTGGGGGAGGGGCGTTCAGGGGCGGGGCTGTCTACATGATGCTGATGCTGCGGTTGAGCTCACACTGGGCGTTGTTGTTGATGTTGGGGTTGGCGTTGCGGTTGCTGATGTTGGACGGCGCCGTCGTGGGGCCGCCGGCGTCGTTGGGGCAGCCGTGCTGGAGCAAGATGTCGGCGCACTCCTGACTGCCAGCTCGTCGGGCGTACGAAAGCGGCGTCTGGCCGCGCGCGTCGCGACTCTTCACGTCCACGCCGTACTGTGACGAGGGAATCACAATCAACTTTGATCGAGTGCAATTTGAGGGAACATTGACGGGACTGATAACTCGTTTTTCAGCCGATGCAGCAGCCATTTTTGGCAGTGGTCAGGAATTATGGGCTCAATTGAAGTTGGTAGGGATGGTTAGCAAAGTATTCAAGAGTAAATTTAAAACAAAAATTAAACTATTAAGACAGAAAGTATACACTGTAGTGGACACATTAAGAAATTCAAAATTATATAAAAATACCTCACAAAGATGGTGGAATCTAAAAAAATGTCTAAGACGATTGGAAAGTATGTTTTTCCTCGCAGTCAGGACGATACAAACACATATTTTCATTTTAGAAAAAGGATAAGGAAAAATGTTATGTGGTCAGACTAAAGGGAATTTTTAATAATTGCTCTTATTGGTTTAAGTATTTAGTATAATTCTGTTTCACTCAATGAACGTCATAATCGTATTAGATTTATAAACTGCAGACCATTTCCTTCAATTTGACATGTGATCTCTTCCCGCAAACCAATTTGCCTAGTTGGCAGGATCTGCCGATTTATAATCACGTCTTGGCTGATTCTTTGCCATTGCACGGGAGGTTGCCACTCACCCAGATGAGGAGTTGCGTGATGACCACGTTGGCCATGGCGCACGAGAGGTGTAGCGCCGTGCGGCCATCGCCGTCTCCGTACGTCTCGTTGACCTCCTCCTTGGTGCCGTGGGCCAGCAGCACCACCACCAGCCTCAGGTCGTCCTCCACCACCGCCCTCAGCAGCTGCTGGCCCAGGGGCACGTCCGACTGGGGCAGCCCCACTAGGAACATTTTCTGCTCGTACTTGGCTCGGATCCAGCGCTCCTTGTCCTCCCTGGAAGTCACAAGATGGCGGGCGGTGTCACCAAGTAGAAAAATCAAGTTTTCTCTCTCTGTGGTAAAGTTATCAACTAAAAGACAAAGTATTGTGATAGAGTCATATATTCCGCATGTTATTCATTGTCTTTATTGTGTTAAGAATTTAACTGACCAAAAAAGAAGTTATTTTATCCATTTTATATATATTTATAATTAATTGGCCGATCAATGGGTTATTGGTATTTTATTCTGAAGGTAGCCTAAAAAAAAAAAATCCATATATGACACGCACTAAAAAAATAACTTAGTTGTTTGTTATTTTGAGCTGTTTAATAGTGACTCAGTAAAGCACAAAAATAACTTAGTTGTTTGTTATTTCGAGCTGTTTAATAGTGACTCAGTAAAGCACAAACATGCATATGTGGTGAATATACTCCATAACTCTGCTAACAACCCAAGCTAATCTTAGCTACTCCCCTAATATACTGATCATAGAACAGTCAAGTCATGACTTTATTATAACGTCGTGGAGGATTTCCAGTCAGGACTTAATATGCTGCTGAGCACAGAGTCAACCGTGTCACAACCTAAAATGACATCCTCTTGGCTAATGACACCGGAGACTATGTGTGTCTTGTTTTGTTGGACCTGACAGCAGCCTTTGAAACAGTGGACCACTGTTTTCTGTTGGCTTGTTGGCAGCCCCAGGTGGGCCTATAGAGTGGTTTAGATCCTACTTAGCCGGCAGGACTTTTTGTGCTAGCCTCGGTTGCTCTGAATACCACTCGACATTATTGTTGTTGGTGTTCCACAAGGTTCCATTTTCGGGCCCATGGCTATTTTCATTGTATTTGCTGCTCCTGGGTTCTACCTTAAACCAGTATGGCATTTCCTTTCACTGCTACGCAGATGCCAGTCAGATCTGTGTCCCTCTAAGCAAATCAGACACTTACTCATAAAAGCCACGTTTGTCCTCTCTGGAAGAAATCAAAGGCATTCAACATGAACTTCAACAAAAAGAAAACAGAAGCGATGACGTTTGGTCCGAGCGGCCCTTGTGCATCTCACCCTCCTGACTTGGGCACCCCTGGTGTCTTACCTAAAGCCAACAGTCTAGACCTTGGTTCTTAAACTGGACAGTGATTTTAAATTGGACAGTCCAATTGGTGCTGTTGTTAAATTCATCTTTTTTTTTAATTTTTATCTTAGGCAACAGATTAAAAAAAAAAAAAAAAAACTCTTTTCACAACAGCATGGAGGAACAGTAATCCATGCCTTTGTTGCATGTCATGACTGTAATGCACATTATTTTGGAGTCAGCCAGTCCTCCAAGAAGTGTCTCCAGTTGGTCAAAAATGCAGCTGCTTGCCTCCTAACTGGAGCTTGTAGAAGGGAGCACAGAATTCCCTTTTTTAGGGTTCATTTGAAGATTCTTTAATTTGTCTTTAAATGGCCTCGTCCCACTTTATTTTTCTGAGCTGCACCTCTACATCAGGGGTGCCCATTACGCCGATCGCGATTGACCGGTAGATTGCGGACTGGTCCCAAGTCGATCGCGAGGGCTGTAGAGGAGAAAAAAAACAACCATTTGTGTGTTTGTGCATGTTAGTAATATATATTTTTTGAGTTAATGTACACTGCACCCTAATCATCCTATCAGTCTCATTTTCACAGAGTATTAAAAAAAAAAAAAAAAAAAGTAGGTCAATCTTTAACCGATGGTGGCACGTGACCTGCATCACCGGAAGTTGTTAGCGCTCAGCAGTCTGCAATTGCAGCTTGTGATTCAGATTCAGATTCAGAAAACTTTATTTATCCCCGTGGGGCAATTAGATCAGAGCTGTTGCGCTATATCTTTTATCGTTGTCATAATTCTAATTCAGAGTTTGTTTCGTGTACAATTCACCGAGGGCACCGGCAAAGAATAGGAATGTCGAGGGCCGAGGGAAGCACTTTAAAACGGTACGTGTGAGCTATGATAGTTAACAGGCTGCAAAAGTGCGTCGCATGCCTCCATGTCAGGCTGTTGCTCATCATGGCATGCGTGTGTATGTGCGTGCGCGGTAACAGGTCAATCGCGGGAGGTTGGTTGATCGAAAAGTCGATCTTCAGTCCAACATGTTTGAGCACACCTGCTCTACATACTTGCCCGGTGCCTCAGGTCAATGGACCAGATGCTACTGTCGGCCCCGATGGCAATGGAAAAAGCGCGATTGCATTGCCAATCCTTCCCTTGGAATGCCCTTCCATTAAACATAAGGCAAGCCTCCTCTGTGTCCATGTTTAAAACTCAGCTTGAAACACATTTTTATTCTTTGGCTTTTGACTCAGGATGAGACACCAAAGCATTGCTTTGGTGTTTTATTGTGTTAATGGTTTTTATGTTTTTAGCATATTGTTTTAAGCGTTTTATATGTGTGATTTTTACTTTATGTACAGTACTTTGTATGCAGCTGTGGTAGCTTTAATGTGATCTATAAATAAAATTTAGAAAGGGATTTTAAACATTTAGAAGAGTTCAAATTGTGATATGAAAATATCTGAAATTTCATTTCCATCAATTTTTGTTTTTTTTCGTCTTTACGATGCCATGCCGCACATACTAATCCTGCCACCTGAGCCCCCCAAAATAGAATTGTGTCACTTGTAAATACAGTGACAGCAGAAGAACGAAGAATGGGGAAAAAATCTCAGTGGGAAAGCAAACTATCAAACGGCCTGGTTCCACTTTCGTTGATTACGCTGGAGAGCGACACGAAGCAAGTGGGGAGCATCTTTCTAAAGGTTACACGTCTTCACCGCTCGCGTCTGCTACGGACAATACCAGATTTCTATTTTTTTTCATCAGGGCTGTCTGCTGTCAGTCTGAACTGGTGGACGCCCTTGCACAATAGAAGCGGTGTGTCTCAGCGGCACCCCGGGGGAAGACCCGGTCCTCCAGTCCGATCGATTTGCGCTGAATGGCCGCAGAGCGACGGAAAGGGTGGGGGTGGGGGGATGAGGGTCGGAGGACGAGGGTGGGGGTCCTCCTTCAAGACCATCCTGGAGTGAGAGAATAGAACGCCAGAGAAGGCTTCGTCCTCTATCACCATCTTTTGCTCTCCATCTTAACCGCCCCCACACTCGTTCTCTGGCTGCGTATACAAACCCAGCACAGATAAAAAAATATATATCAATACGTGAATGACTGAGCATGCCCAGTGTGCCACTGACCCCGTGACCTCGCCGGGCCGGGCGTCTGATAAGGCAGTACCGAGAGGTGGCCGTTGTTTGGATGTGTGGATGAGTGACAGAAGGTAACGCTTTGGAGTGACAAGACTCTCTTGGGAGTTGACATTCGCTGTCTCCGATTTCCTTTCACACTCTAGGACATTTAGCCGGGGTGCTAATGAAAGCCACCGTTGCTCTGCCGATACGGAGGTAGTCGTATTCCTCTTTGATTGACACGGCCAAAGAAGTACTTTTGTTCAAAATAATTACCAAAGTCATTTTTAACAAAGTGATATCTCACTGAGTAGCAAAGCCTTGTGAGTGTTTGGGAATGTAGCGATTGTTTGTTTTTTTTTTTTTGTTTTTTTTGGGCAGTGTTCATTAAAGCTTGCAAAGACGTTAGTCAAACAATTGCAAACAGTGTTAACAGTTGCAAACAGTTTTTCTTCTCATGAAGTAATTTTGAACATGTTCGAAATTTGATTTACTACATACTAAAAATGTCCGGTTTTTGATGGCCATATACCACATAAAATCAGTTCAATTATTGCATAAGGCACACCGGATTATAAGGCGCACTGTCGATTTTTGAGAACATTATCCAATTTTAATTGCGCCTCATAGTCCGAAAACTATGCTAATGTGTTTAATGGACAGTTCTAAGAGGGGAATAGAGGTACTGGTTAAAAAGATAACATAACTCAATTAAATTTTAACAGGACAAATTGCATTCGACATAGCAATACATCTTTGTGCTCATGAAAATGCTCAGATAAAGTGGACTGACTTGGTTTCTACTTGGATATGTTCAAGAGTTTTGTTTTCCAATATTATGCCTTGCCAAGCCTGACGTAGCATTGGTTCACAGTCATTATCTTTGGGTCCATTTACCACGAAAAGTGTTGTCTCAAGTGCGAGTGCATGTTTTGAAGGAGAAGTGCTTTCACACATGTTAGAAACAAGTTGTCATAAAGCCTCTTTCTGTCGGTCATTACACACTGAATAGGACAGGACCTGACCCTGGATAAGATGAAGAAGAGGGATGGATACATTTTCTTGTACTCTGAACATGACATATCAAAAGAACAAAAAAATCTCATGACATTAAGAAATGGTAGAGGGTTTTAAGATATCAGTGTTGGACATTTGTTACTAACATGGGTGTCTGTTATCATGCCTTGTGGGGACATGGTTCTGACAAAGTTAAATGAGGCTGTTGAGGCCAGAGACTTGATTGTGGAGTGGAAGACCAAGCGCAGATTGACGGAGTGCAAAATCAAAACAAAGGAACCTCGTAAAGCAAACACCTTAAAACAGTTTTGATAAGCATATGGTTCATTTTGGGGAAAACGCGCACCAGAATGCCGTTGTCCTCACCAAACCATAAGGAGCCCTTTTCTTAGGAATGGCGGTATTGTGCGTCCAACAATAGCGCCCTAATGGCAGGCAATTGCCGAGTTTTATGGTGTTAGACCATCAATCCCTCATCAGTCACTATGTGAGGAGGACAAGGCTGTTAGCAAATCAATCGGCCTTAAAGCAGGAAGGGGCCGTGCCGCCCTCCTCTCTTATTTCCGGTGAGCGAGAACGTCATTCTTTTGCCAACAAATTAAGTTGAAAAAGGCGGTATGATTTACAACTCTTTGGATGGGGCTCAAAATGTAAATCAGCGGGCTCCACAGTCTGAATGAGAGGCTGAATGTGTCGGGCCAGGCCAATTGGCAGAAGTTAAATGAAGCAGAAAGTTAACATTAAGATGTGAAACAAAAAGGACGTCAAGATTGCACAGAAAGAAGCCCGAAGGAT